TGTGATGACTTAAAAATTTCCAATGATGGTTCTAAACTTTAATGTGTACAAAAATTGTAAGGGAAATTTATGGAAAATAGACTCCTATACCTCATTCCCAAAGATTATTCTGTTTTAAATCATTCTCACCTTTCTTCTCAATTATTATCATTGTTCTTGTACAAAGCAAATTTAGGAAATAAATACTGGAGCCTTGGGATTGAACTGATGCTTCTTAAAGAGAAAGGGCTTGACCTAAAGTAAGGCATTTCTGTACTTCTCTCCATCCTCCCGTTCTTCTATTAAATATTTATTGTATATCCACTAGTACCATGTACTAGGTCCTGGAATTAAACTGCTCAACAAGATATGCAAAGACTTTTGCTGATGTGGCACTTAGATTTTTATTTGAGGTAGGACAGATAATAGGCAAATAACTTTGGGATTATTACAGATATTGTTCTCTGAAATAAAATAGGCTAATATGGCAGGCAAATATTCAAGAAGGATTAAATAATGTGGTACAAAAGAAGGGAACACAAGATCTGAGAATTGAATGACCAGAAAAACTTAAAGCATGCCAAACACAGCAAGTATGAAGGTTTTAAGAAAAAAAAGAATCAGTAAGAAGAAAGCATGTGTGGGGCTTGAGATATAGCCTGGTCAAAGTCATCCACCAGAAACATCAGGGGAGGAGACAATTGGGATTACGCTCAAGGAAATCTGGGAAAAGGTTACTAGCTGACATATCATTAAGGAAGAGTTTTTTTTAATGTTGTACAAACACTTCTCCTGTTAAAAGCAAATATAATATGGCAATGCCTTATCCATTAAAAATAGTTCATTCCATGATTCCTTTTGAAGCTTCATGGTAATAGGATTCCATTATGACTGGCAGATTACATTTTGTAATACCTGAGTATTGAAAATAATCTCATTTTGAATTTCCTTGAGATCCTAGTGACTTATTATTCATCGAATTACTCAAATGTCATTAAACAGGACCTAATAAATGATGTTAACTTGCCTTTCAGAATTCATATACTTTTCTAAAGGAGAAACACTTATCCTATCATTTCTAAATCAGTTATATGACATAAGCTTTTATGCTAGCTTGGGATTCTTTTTCAGTCTGGCATTGATTTGTCTTACAATTCCAACTGGACATGTACCAATTAATAGTAATAGTTCTACTACAACTAACCATTTTTTAAATTTATCTACATCAATGAGTGTCTAAGGAAGACAGGAAAGAGCCAAGGATGAGCATGTTATTGTTATGTAGGCAACACATCCTGGGACAATGTGGTAGGGTAAGGGGAGGGGCTACTTCGGAAATGAAGAGATAGATGCTCAGCCTCAGACCTCATTGATCACTAGCTGCCCTTTCATAAGCCATCTCAAGGAAAGGCAGCCAGGGGGATTGTGGCCTTCTGTGATACGGTCCGGTCCACTGACAATAGGGATCTGCTCATAGTTTCATTACACAGGGCTACCAGAAGATGAAGGACTAGATCTGTCCAGACCAAATCCAGACTAGAAGCTGCATTTTCTATCTCTTTTTACTCTGCTCTAAGACTTAAATATTTCTTTGAGGGGTGGGTGGGAATCCCTGTTTGTGTGTGTGTGTGTGTGTGTGTGTGTGTGTGATATTATACATAATGCTATAGTTCTAATGAAAAAGTTTCCCACAGCCATGAAAATTGAGTTTTTCACTTGTATCTGGTCAATCAGGTTAGCACCAATATCTTCCAAAACTGGGGAGCAGAAGAATAATCAATCACAGACTACAATTACTGTAGCTGCAGTACCTGAAACAAGATGGAAATATGCTGGTGGAAAGTTTATGGAAAAAGGTGTGGGAAAAGGAATTGGGAAAGAAAAGAAAGGCTCTACTAGAATAGAAAAAACCATCATCACAAGAAACTGAGGAGTTTAGTCATGCTGGAAATACCACTGCAGCTCACATCTTTTGTTAAAGTAAAAAGGGAAGTAGGGGATAGGACCAGGCAAAGTGATATTTTAAGCTTCAACACACACTGCTCATCACTGACTTGACTTGCAGCCTCTTTCAACAAAAGCACACAGTGATTTAATCTCAACAGCAGTGTAGTCTGAAGCCATATGAGACAAAACTATCACTGCAGACAGGCTGTAATTTGTGAGATTCAGGTGCCGGGGATTAGGACCACCTGTTGAATTTAATCTTGGAGTTATAATGTTAATACCATCGTGTAACTGAACATAAACACTACATATTTATCAGTCTTTGAGACCTCCAGCTATGGAGATGTGAACGTTTTCCTAAATAGTGTCTGCAACTCTCTCCAGACTCTGTAAATCAACGGCAAATAAAAAGTCTGTTGGAATTCTCATTCAATATGCAGCAGCATATGGCTTCATGGTCATCACATTCAGCATATTCTATCATTTTTTTCTGAGGCCTGATGTGAGGAGAGTGGGGGCAAAAAACCCGTCTGGGTGTTCCCTAGCAGTATAAGAATAGGAAATCTTTTGCTTCTTACCCTCTCCTGCATTAATTGGGAGAAGATATTCCTAGCAATACGCTAACAAATGATTTCCACCCTTGCCTCAGCAAGAATATAAGCTCTCAAATGAAACCTAATTAACATCAATTTCTAGAAAGGACAAATACATCGCACACATGCACCTTCAGCTGGCCATCAGAGGAGAGCTCTGCCTCTTTTTCAGCCACCTCAATAACAGCAGTAAATGGGGTCAGTAAATGACTGCGTTTTGTGTAGAAGTTTACATTTACTTTGGTAGGATGAATGGGTTAATCCCTAAAGAGAAGGTACATACTTTATCATTTCCATTTGTTCCTTTGCTTGAGGTGAGGTAAACTTCATTGATAACTTGGATAAGCAGTTTTGTAAGAGACAGGTTTGGTTTGGTTATCCCTCCCTTCCTTTTTGGATTTTTGAGACAGAATTTCACCAGGTAGTTCCAGGATGGCTTTGAACTTGATTTCTTCCTGCCTCTGCCTGGAATTACAGGTGTGTACACCACCTCACTTTGGGAGATATTGGTTTTCTACAAAAGAATTTTATTGATTTACTGGTAAACAAAGATCTTCCTCTGCCAAGAATTCCAAGGACTTTCATGTAGTATTTATCATTCATATAGTACTTCACAATTTATAAAGCCACTTTACTATAGTTTGTTTCAATTTTTCTTGCAGAGTTGAGAATTTCTTCCAACAAAGAAAAGAGCTGTTCTTCATTCTAATTATATAAGGCTCTGATTCATTGAATACTTTATTTTAAAAATCAACAGGAGGGCATTATGTTTCTCTTAAAATTCTTAGCCGGCATCTCTCTAGCAGTATTACACAAGGAGGAAAGCATTAGGAATAAATATCTTTCCCACCAAACAGATCAGAGCTTTCAGTAAATCGATCTTTTGACACCTCCATTAATCACAGCTTCACAAGTGTTAGCCATTTTCATTGAACAATAGCCATGAAAATCTACCAGTTCAATATATTCATCAGACATCAACTACCACAGAAACACCATATCCATCCAACAGCCAGAAGCCCATGTCTAAACTTTCCATGACTTCAGCCCTTACCAGTTGCTTGTACATACAGATCCAAACTATGCAATCAATCCACAACTAAGAAAGAAAACTGAAGCCATAATTGGTGAGTCTATCACCTTCAACTTTTGGATTTTAAGTCTATCCTCCATCATTTCCTCTAATATTTCCCCCTCTTTCCTGCTCCTCTGAGAAATTCCTAGTATAAGTGCCACCTTTTCAAAGAAACTTTTCTTACTTCTTCCAGGAGATGTGACCTTTCTCCTCTGAACCCCAATACTGTATGTAACTAACATCTGCTTATTTGCCCAGACTTACTTCGTGACACATTTTGTCTTGTACAGACATTTAAAAATCCCTAAAGGCTGGCTTCTGCCTCAAAGTCTTTTGTGCCCTCTGATCCTCAGCATTATGCATGGCACACGTGAATGGCAATCTTCTGATTATCATTTAAAAAGAAGTTTGGCTTTTTCATACATAGTATGAGCAGTCTTTCCACATAGGAACATCTGCAAAATATTACTTCTGTTTACATAATAAAATGTAGCAATTAAAAAAAAAAGCCCAGTTGTGGGATTTCAAGAAATCCACTGGCTTTATAGGGAGGTACAGATCAGATGTATGTTTTAATAAAAACACATTACCAGGTTTAGATAATGAGAGATGCGCTAAAACTGTATTAAACTATCCTCTGAATCAGGAAAGTTGATTAGGATTCTCCCAGAGGCTTCCTCCACTGAAACCAGAGATTTATTATTCCAGGGAAAGGAGGTTTAATTTTTTTTTAAAATCAGCTTATTAATTATTAGCCAAGTCATGCTGTAGCTTCTCGGAAGGCAGAGGAAAACAAGCTTTCAAGCCAATGGGAGCTGAGTTTGTGCCTCTAGCTTTCAGAGGCTGCCTGGGCACTGCTCCTCAGAGCTAAAGTCATCCAGCCCAGGGTAATAGGGAGAGATCAGAGGGGAGCCTGCAGTGACTAGGGACTGCTGGTTGCTTCCTGCCCTAGTCCTGGATGGCAGAAATGGTGCCTGATCATGAGCTATCCCAGGTTTCCTTCTGCCAGGGCACATCCTCCCAAATTGAAAGCTTCCGGCCATAGGACATCACAGGCAGCCTGGAACTCTGAGGCTTGATTCTAGTAGCAAGACTGGTTCCTGTTAGTACCACTGAGCTTTGGGGTCACCTTATTCCTATTCACCCCCCCCCAGTAAAATAAATAAATAAAATAACCGAAAAGCATACAAACAAAAACTTTGCATTCTTTTCCAAATAAGAATTCACACCAAGTAGGTAGAAAGCCACCCCACCCACCCCAGCCAGTCCACTTCCCAGCCAGCCTCTTGGGAAATGAACCTACTCACGGCGCCTCCCAGCCTCCCCAGGAAAGGGTGGGGGAAGAAGGCTCAGGTGTGCGGGATCCCCAGGCTGAGTGGCGCACGGACTGGCACGCAAGCCTTCACCTTGTGGTCCGCCACGCCGAGGTATCCGTCCAGGGGTCGCGGTCCCGCGGGGGCTGCCAGGCGCGGCGCGGGGCTGCTCTCCGCTGCCGGCTGAGCGCTCCCGGTCGCCGGCGCCTGTGGTTGTAGTGGCTGCTGTGGCTGCTGCGGGGGCCGCTCCTTCTGGCCGCCGAGGCTGCTGTACACGAGCAACAAGCTGGTGCACATGGTGGTGAGCGCTAAACACACTGCCAGACCATGTCGCTGCGGGAGGGCGGGAGGGAGAGAGCAGAAGACAGCGACTGAGCCACGACCCGGGAGTGAGTGCGCGCTGCGGGGGACCCCGGCACCGTGCTCGGATCGGCCCGGGGCCGCAGCCTGACCGGCGAGGCACGGTCCCCGCGCGGGTGGCTGGGGATGCGCCCAGCGCGTCGCCGCTCTCGGCCGTGGCTGCCGCCCAGATCTCTCAGTAGAGGGCAGGTGGTGGCGCGCGGCGCGGGGATCAGGGAAGGAGAGCGCGTCCGCAGCTAGGGCAGGGGTGGGCTTGCATTTTGGGGAGGGGCCCTCCTCCCTACCAGGCTGGAATCTTTACCCTTGGCACCCCCTTTCCCCTCCCCGATTCTCTAGGGTTCCACCTCGGCGAGCCTTGCAAGTTTTCAACCTGGCAAGGAAACCCAGAAAAGTCTGCAAAGGTTTCCCCCTCCCCGCCCCTCGTAGTTCTTGCCAGGTTGTTGCTTTGGGGGGACATCTTCCGTCCCCAAAACGATCTATCCGCTTCTTGGGCTCTCTGGCTGGCGGTCCTGCCCCCTTTGGACCACCGGCCGGAGATCCAGGAGCCTGAGCAACCCAAATATCCACCCGGGATTGCGAGCCAGGCAAAGCCACGCAATCCGGAGGGGACACGAAGCAGGTGGAAAGTTGTCCCTTTTTAACAGGCGACCCCACTGCACAAGGTTAGGTCCTCCCTGGGGCTCCTCCGTGGGACCCCGGGACGCTGAGCCCGGAGGGGTCCTCGCCTCTGCCCGGTAGAGTTGCAATAACTGACTCACCATCAGGGTCTTCATTTTGGGCGCCTCTTTTGTGCCGAATCCTCAGGCACGCGCGTCCGGAGCCACTTTTTTTTGGAGGGTTTCCATCGTGGGCGATAGGGCACAGGCGGCTCTGATTTTTTTCTTTCTTTCTTTCTTTCCCGCGACTGGCGGCGGCTGAGCGGGCGCAGGAGCCGCGGGACCCGGGAAGCGCCGCTGTGGCCAAGATTAGAGACAGAATTAAAACTGAACCGAACCCTCGTAGTCTCTCAGTGATCTACACAACTGCTGCCTGCCGCCGCCTGCTGGGTCCTAGAGACCTCTGCATCTCCTTTCCCACCCACCCACCCACCCCCAAGCCCCGCCCCCAAATAATCTCAGCAGAGTAAAATTTCTGGGGCCAAAGAGTTGACCGTGTCCGTGCGACCATTTCTTGGTTGCAGGGTTTATTTTTATTTTTTTTTATGAAGACATCAGCCCCAAAAGAGAACCTTAGCTTCGTAATGTGATAACCTTTTGAAAATGGGCAAATTCAATTTTCTTTTGAGTTTTTGGTACCACCCCAAATATCAGTAACCCTCTATGTAGTTTCTTTATTTAGGGTCCTAGTCAAGAGAAATCTACCGTGAAATTATTTCCATCTCCCCCCGCCCCCCTGACAATTATATTAGCTGTTGTCCAGTTGTAAGCGATCAAATTTTGTTTTCTCCTTTATTTTTTATCAGTTGTCTCCATATGCGCTCTGTAACTGTATTTTATTCAAATGATTTCATTCATTATTTGCATCCAAGATTACGATAAATGTTTTCATTTGGCCTTTGAGGAATCCAATATTCATCTAAAGGCTGGTAAAGTTTTTAAGACATTCAGCCGATCATCTCCACATGGTTGGCATGGCTTGTAGATTCCTCTGAATTTCAATGAAGAATTTTTGGCTAGTTGAGCTAAAATTGCTCATGGCTTATTTCATAAGAATTCTATGGCCCTCCATACTCTCCTTATGCTGGTCACTTTTACAACTTGGACTAAAATTAAAGCATTAATTATTGCTCCTTGTTGGGGAATCCACACCAATAGCTTGTTTTTTGTTTTTTAACCAATAGCTTGTTTTTAAGAATGCTGTCTTTCCTGCCTTGAGTTGCAAATGTCATTTGTTAAATGTCTAATTTAGCTGAAAAACATATTTCTTGTAAAATTGCTCAGTGGAAATAGTTGTCTTAATGTGATACTTAACACCTCACCTGCAGCAAGGTAACATTAAAGATTACATTAAGATGGTAACGATCAACAGGCCAACTGAAGCATGGGTGCATTAAGAGCTTTCTCAAGGCCAAAAAAGGCATTGTAATCCTCTTTTAATCTCCACGACTCTACTGCTGGACTGATGCTATAACAGGAACTATTTTTAATTTACAAAGCACCTTTCCATACTTCTGATTGAGGAACTTATTGGTTCAACAATGAATACCAGTGCAATGCACTTGAGAGGCAAAAACAAAAAAAAACTTTTAGTTTTTTTAGTCTTTCAAGGAAAAACACAAAATTCAAAACACTGTTCAACATGGCCAGCCTTGGAGCTATTTATTCAATTTGTGCTTTAGGCATGAACAGTGGCAGTTGTTAGGGCAGGAAAAGCAGCAGCCAGAGGAGAATCTTATCAGGTCTTGGCAATTCTTTATTGTATGGTTGCACTTGACACTCAAATTAATGAAACAAAGGACCAACTTGATGAATCGTTGCAAGCAGATTATCTGGGTTTCTCCAGGGCTCTTGTTTGAGATGGTACTAGAAGGAAGCTCTTTCAGTTTTTCAGGATTATTCTCCTGCCACAACAGCAAGTTGTCCAGTGACCGATAAAACACTTCTAATATATTTCTCCATGCCAAACAGAGACATCATCTTTATGATTTAAGCTCATAGCAGCATGCTGGACATCTGTTACACAGTATGTCTGACCAAATTCATTAAGCTTATGCTCTCCCACCTCCCCACTCCCACGATAGCAGCTAGCTAAATGCAGAATCTACTTATAAAATGACCAGGGTAAAAATTAAATGTTTAATTTTGAGCTTGATTTGAATGTCTTCAAGGTGTCTGTTTTTCAAATATTTGATTACATTGATATTGGGCTATTTTAGGTATTTCAACCGAAGAGCTAACTGGCCAAAGGCAGAGTGTGAAATAAAACAAGTAACACAAGTTTCATTCAATTTGATGATTATTTTAATGATCAGCTGGTATCTGATGCTTCTATATTAAGGTCTACAAAGATGAATTAAATAGAATTTCCTCTAAGGCTTCATTACCTAAAGTGTGTGTGCGTGCACGTGTGCACACGTGTGTGTGTGTGTGTGTGTGTGTGTGTGCCTAGTCATTTCATGCATCAACAGCAAAAACAAAACCCAGAATACTATAGAATTAGCACATATTTTCAAAGCACCCACTATTAGAAATTAAATTGTTATTGTAAAGATCATGCACAGAAGGGTTACAGTTTCTTAAGTCAGGTAAGGAGTACCTTTCTTTCTGGACGATGTTACCTCTTTCCTAGCTCTCTCCCAGTTATTCTCTTCCATCCCCACCCGTAAGTTGTATAGTTCACTTTCAACCTAATGTCTAGTGAGTAAGCACCTACTCTTTTAAACACTTACCCTGTTAAACGCATTCTATGTACCAGGCATTGGGATACGTAGTTAAATAGATCTCCTCCTAATCGTGGTTAAATAGATCTCCTCCTATTTCCAGAGAACTCACAGGCTGTTCACAGATGTGTGCTATGAAACTTTGTTACAAAGAAGCAGGAACAATCAACATACCTGGTTCATTTTTTCAACTTTTGATTGCTTTTTTATTTAAGATCTGGGGAATTTGAGGTTTCAAGGACATTTATCTATATTTATACAACTTGATTCACTCTTTTAAGTTAATAGTTTGAGTAGCTGGAAAGAGCAGAAAATAGGCAGCATTCACAAGCACTTGATTGACTTGGAGACAAGCAGACAGGTAGACAAGTCAATGAGGCATTTGTAGTTCATCTAACTTGCACAGTTCAATACAAAGCCAGTTGAGAAATCACAATTTGCTTCTCAGAATCCATGTAGCTCAGATGGATTTCTCACCATTTAAAATTTTGCCACATTTCTGCCTCTGGTGCTATCACATCCAATCAAATAGATTCCTGTTTTTGAAAAAAAAAAAATGAGCGCAAGGAATGGAATGGAAAAGAAATTGAGTGTTCCACAATGTAAGTTTTGTGATAAAGTGAAGCTGAGAATTTATGAAACAAAGAATGTCAGAGGCAATGAGGGAACAGGTGGAACCTGGAGCTCAGATAATATGCCAGCCAATGCATACAGCCTCAAGGACAGCACAGTGCTACCAAAAAGGAGGAACAAACACAGACTGGTGCAAACCCAAGAGCCGTGCCCCCTTCCCCAAGTGACTTTTAAGGCAGAAGTAAACATTACTCACATTTCCAAGATGAATGAAAAGCAGTAAGAACACAGTGTAAACTGAATTTGAGACCCAACTGCCTTGAAACTTATGCTTTTAAAAAAAAAATGCGATTTCTGCAAGGTTCAGCAAAAGCCAAAAAGTTTTATTATGACAGAAAGTCCTCGAACAAGTTCAATATTTGTTCATTGTGCCTTGGTGTTTACCTTATATATAACTTTATATATTTTGGAGGCTAGGCCGAGAGGGCTGGTTAGTTGAGAACAAGACCCTGGAACCAGGCTATGGGGCCTAGATTCTAACCTTGCCACTTACTAGGTCTTCGACCTCCATGTCTTACTTAGCTGTGCGTTAGTTTCCTCATTTGCAAAATAGTTCCTGAAAGTGTTGTTGTGAAAGGTTAAATGAACTATACATGAAATGTCAACAGCAATATTAACCTTGACAGTTCTTTATTATTAGGATTAAGAAACTGTGTTTGAAAGCAAAACTGAAGTTTAAGAGTTTTACCTAATAAGCCACAGGACCTGAGACAGGGGAAATATAAAAATATTCAGAAGAAGCTGGGCCACTGAGGCTCATTCCTATAATCCTAGCTATTCAGGAGGCTGAGATTAGAGGATCTCAATTTCAAGCCAGCCTGAGCAAGAAGATCCATGAAGTTCTTATTTCTAATTAAGCAGCAAAAAGCCAGAAGTGGAGGTGTAGCTCAAGTGCCAGCCTTGAGTAAAGAGTGTTAATGTTTCAACAAAATGAATATAACAAGGATGATTCGACAAATTGCTAGAGGGCTTATTAAGAAATTGTTTATGTGACTGCTTTATAAACTGTGATGCTTTGCAGAAGCTAAGTAATAATACTGTGATGTGAAAGATTGTTGTGCAGGGAATTTTATCCCCCTGGAATTGGTCCTAAAAAATGATGTAGATCTTTAGGAGATGGGGCCTAATACAAGGTCCTTAGGTCACTCAGAGTCTGCCTTCAGACTCTTATGGGACTGCCTGGCTTGCCATGTGGTCCTTTCTCTTGTCACACTCAACCATCTGCCATTGTCCGTGTGGTCCTTGTCAGAACCGAGTTGCTACAGATGTCATGCACTTGATTCTCTAAAACTGTATGCTTAATAAACCCTATTTTCTCATTAGGTCAACCATTTCAGGCTTTTTGTTACAGTGATGAAGAGCTGACTAATACAAATAGTAACTCATTCATTCATTCATCCAACAAATATCTGTTGGGCATTTCTTATGTTCCAGGCATTATTCTAAGCCTTATACATTTGCAAGGATTTTGCTTCATGAAAATTCAAGGGAGGACAAAAACAATATAATAGAATGCTAGGTACAAGAAAGAAATCAGGGTGGTTGAAAAGTTTACACTCCCACCAACAATGCAGTAGGGTTCCCTTCTGTCCACATCCCCTCCAGCATCTGTTGTTATTAGATTTCTTGATTATAGCCATTCTAACTGGGGTGAGGTGGAATTTCAATGTTGTTTTGATTTGCATTTCTTTTATGTCTAGAGAGGTTGAGCATTTCTTCATGTGTCTATTGGCCATTCTTAATTCCTCTTCAGAGAAGTTTCTCAAAAGACTCCACATAGAGCTCCCCTATGACCCAGC